CTAGCCAAGAACATGGGATGTCTTTCCATCTAAGGTCTTCTCAATTTCTTTCTTCAAGCGTTATATAATTTTCATTGTAGAGCTATTTTACCTCCTTGGTTAGATTAATTCCCAAGTTTTTCAATTAAAAAAAAAATTGGCATTACTGCAAATGGAATGGTTTTCCTGATTTATCCCTCGGATGAATTAACTGTTGGAGTATAGGAAAGCTATTAATTTATGGGTGTTGATCTTGTATCCTGCTACATTGCTGAACTCATTAATTGCCGCAGTCTGGCTGGGCACAAATAACCGAGCTGCCACAAAGCACTTGTATGTTCAAACAGGAAACTGTATTGCCCGAACTCCACCAGCACTCCACGCACACTACCGGGGAACTCTCCCAGCTCTCCACCGGGCTCCACTAATTCTCTTGGACCCCCTCGAGAACTCGGGAACTCCAGGGCGTCTGAGGCAGCAAGAGCTGCCCTACAGTAAAGGTCTATATACAATTGAATACAAAGCTTAACATAACCATCATCATCTCAATGGCTCGCTGGCCTTACCTCTCAACCATTCCCTTCTGGCAAAATGCCATGCAAAATGTCATCTCCACTCGGCTGTGGCCCTCAACAATTTATAATCTCTAGAAACTCTAGAAGTCTTCTGGTGGAGTTTTTTGGGGGCTTTTAGATAGGTTCATGTCATTGGCAAACAGAGGCAGTTTGACTTCTTCTTTTCCTATTTGTATCCCTCTGATTTCCTCTTCTTGCCTGATCACTCTGGCTAATGTTCCAAGAACTATATTGAATAGAAGTGGTAAAAAGAGTAAACAGCCTTGTCTTGTTCCTGATTTTAGAGGAAATGCTTTTAGTTTTTTTTAATTTTTTTTAAATTTTTTTTTAGTTTTTCTCCATTCAGTATGATGTTGGCTTTGGGTTTGTCATAAAAAGCAAGTTCCTTCCATCCCTAGCTTCTTTTTTGTAACATGAATGGGTGCCGAATTTGATCAAAAGCCTTTTCTGTATCTATTGAGATAATCATGTAATTCTTGTTGTTAATTCTGTTTAAGTGGTGAGTTACATTATGTTGAACCAAACTTGCATCCCTGTAATGAAGAGCCCATTTGATCATGGTATATTATCTTTTGATGTCTTTTTAAAATGTGTTTTGCTAATTTTTATTAAGGATTTTCATCAGGGATATTGGCATATAATTTTCTTTCCTTGATACATCTTTGTCTGGTTTTGGTACCAGGGTTATACTGGCTTCACAAAATGTATTTGGGAATTTCCCCCTCTTTCAATTTCATGGAATACTTTGAGAAAGACTAGTGTTAGTTCTTCTTAATGATCTTCTAGAAATCAGCTGAGAATCCATCTGATCATTGGCTTTTCTTTTTTGGAAGGCTTTTAACTGATGTTTCAATTTCATTACTTGACATTGGTCTGTTTAGATTTTTTATATCTTCCTGATTCATTGAGCAGGTCATATATGTCTAGAAATTTGTCAATGTCTTTAGATTTTTCAGTGTAGTAAAGTAAAATTTTTAAAATAGGATCTGATAATCTGCTGGATTTCAGAAGGTTCTGTGGTAATATCTCCTTTTTCACCTCTCATTGATTTTTCTCTTTCTTTTGGTTAGTTTAGCTAAAAAATTTATTAATCTTTTCAAAGAGCCAATTCTTCATTGCATGATCCTGTGTATTATTTTCTTATTCTCAATTTCATTGATTTTTACTCTGATGTTAATTATTTCCTGTCTTCTGCTGGCTTTTGAATTAGTTTAGACTTCTTTTTCTAAGCCTTGAGTGGAGCATAAGCTTATTTATTTGGAATCTCTCTATTTTCCAAGTTTCTCTCTTCAGTTATTTGTTTTGATGTTTATTTGCTTGTTTGGTTGATTGGTTTTATTGTTGTGGTTTGGTGTGGTCCACTAAATTAAAATGCAATATGGGCAAGTACTCTTGAAAAAGACCAATCTTGATCTTTAGCAATTTCTTTGAAGAGAACATGGCAGTCACTGACTCAAATGGTATGAAGATTTATTTCTCTAGTCACTCAAACCACAGAGAACTCTGGTCTAATAAAAAATTTTCACTCTTCTTCTTTTTTTTTTTCCTTATGGTGCTTTTCAGATATCAAGCTTTTATTCTGGGCAATTATGGGCCTGGGTGGTGAGCTCCATCAAAAGCTACTCTGGCTTCTCAAAAAGTGAGTCTAGCTTTAGAAACATTATAAAGTTTTGCATCTTAATAGCCTCAGCAGCTGATTTTTATTTTCTTATTCTGGAAAACTGTATACATCACTGAAACAGGGCAGGGGAGTGTATATGTGTATATTAGACATCTGTTTCTGTGGCCTGCTTTAATTTACACAAAGGGGAACTATTTCTCTCTCCTTTTTGAATTCCCAACTTCATTTAATACTTTTTATATTCATCATTTATTCTGGTTGAGGGATTATGATAGCAATATAATTTTCAAATATAACTGAGAGTTTAGATAGAGCATGTTCAATCAACTAAAATGCTTTATTTTGCTGGTATATAGTGGTCTCTGCAAAATGTCTTGAGCACACAACTCTCAAGAAGTAGTACAAGATTTGTACAGTATATGTAGTTATAGATTATATGTATATGTGCTACTAGATTAATACATTATGTGTAGCTCAAAATATAGATTTCTCAAGAATTTTATAAAGATGTCTTTTATTTAGTAATGACAAATAACTTTTTGCTGTCACTAGAAATTATTAATAATATTTAACAAGAATAATGTGATTTAAGCTAATTTATTATTTCAGAACATATTGGTTAATCCTTTGTGATTGAGCAATTTTAAGTTCAATTTGTTTTGATACATGATTTTAACAACTGTTAAAGATACCTCATAAAATTATGTAGAACTAATGAGAAAAAGTCATCGGGGCCCTAATACCCTCAGTTTTTAATTCTATCCTCTGATAAGGCAAAGGTTTAGAGGTTTTCAATTTTTAATTATTACTATTTTGTTATTGCTAACTGAAATTTAGCTAATATATTTTCTGATATCAATTTTATATCAGTTTGTTGCTCTTGAAAACTTATTAACCTTTTGAATTCTTGTATTTAAAAAAAATTATGTCCTAAAGCCATTGATATTTTGCAAGTTTTTTTTTAAAGCCAGTTAGGATATTCCATTTCCATATCTAATATGTAGATATTCCATCTACATATTAGCAAACATGTAGATGTGAAGAGTTATAATAGGTGACACATTATTTTTAAAAATAAAATCACATTTACAAACATCTACTTTCAAAAAATGCTCTCCTTGTAACAGGTTTCTTCCAGAAGCAGTTATTTTCTCACTTATTGTCAAAACACTGCTTCTACCTTGAAGGGCTATATTTAAGTATATTTTTCAAAAAGTCTCTGCAAGATAGCATCTACTAAAACCATTTAGCACATCAAGGCCACCTAGTTTGGACAACTTGTCTTTCTGCAAAAGGAAAATGGGCAACAATTTTTAGTCCCTCTTATTAAAAACCACCTCTGTGTGGGAGAAATATTGGTATTCATTACCCATCTCATTACAAAGTGTATAAAAAGGTACTAGCATACTTTAAAGAACTTATTTGCACACAACCAACTAAGTAATATTATCCTTTGGTACTGTGTATGCATCTGGCTTTAATGTCTTTGTTCTTCAATAGCTCATTCAATAGCTTGTTTGTGAGTGCGGCAGCCAATGCATTTCATATATGTCACTGTTAATGATAATGAGTGCAAATCCTTATTCAAATAACCTGCTTCATTATTTCTACTGAGTAGGGCTGGCTTCTGGACAGATTCCATTAAATTGCTTTCATCCCAAATGGGAATATCTGCCAGATGTCTCCCAGTATCCATTCTCTCTCCCTCTTCCTCAGTATCAGAACCTGTGAATGGGCCTATAACTTTCCAGAGCAAACCTCACATTTTCCAAGGCCCTCCTCCTTTCTCCCTTACAGATACAGCCTTGAATGTACATTGTAAGTCCTGGGATGTAAGTAGGAACAAAATATAGCCTTAGAAGAAGGGGCAGCTCTCCTGCCTCCTTTCCTTCTAACTACCTAGAATTCAGATTTGATGGCTGTAACTTAAGCAACCATCTTGAAGCAAGAAGGAGAAGACAGGCATTATTAGGGCAGCCAGAGCAACAAGAAGGGGGACCTAGGTCCTTCATATGTTGTTATTACTCAGGCTTGAGTTGCCTATATTTATGTGTGAGAGAAATATACTTACATCTCTTTGAGCTTCTAGTATTTAGGGTTTTCTGTCTCTCATTGGTATGCTGAACCCTTATTAATACACCTGGTGATGGCCTGATGAAGCACTCATGCTAGGTGTCGGAGCACAGACAGTTCTGCCATCTCCTCACATCCACAGGTGCTTCCTCATTAACATAACCTTCAATCTGCAGTTTCCTAATAGGAACTGCTTTTGAGCTACTCGTCCATTTAGTCAGAATTAGTTTTTAAGAACTACATAATAGAATATTTAAATTGACTTTACCAGGTTAGTGTAAACTACAATCTCTGTCAGCAGATTAGAAAGCAAATCAATGAGGAGGCCATCACTAGGCACTTCCAGCTTTTCTTCCAACAAGTCAAGAACCATGCATAATCTGCATTTGACAAATACAGACCATAGGAGACCACCAGTGTCCCTGGTAAACAGAAATAAAGTTTTGGTATTTTGCTTGACACATAAATATATGGAGTTCTGCTTCCTTCCTGCTCCTTTCCTGCCACTACCAACAATGTTTCAAGCATCTGCCAGGTGAGCAGCACTCTACCCACCTTAACGCCATCCTCAGGCTGTGGATGGACCCATACCTAAATACAGGCTTCCTTCCTGCATCACAACATGGCGCTATGACATGGAAATGTCCCAAAGTGAAAAATCTGCACAAGTAAAAGTTTTCCATAAAAACTGAAAACTTATGAAGCAAATGGTAAATCAAAGGGTGGATGGATGTAAAGATTTGGTGCTTTACCTGAATACCTCGAGAACAGTCCTTTCAGGTAATTTGGGAGCCACAAGCCTGAAGGCTCTTTGGAAATCTTCCAAAGTTAAAAATCCACGATCTATTTGAAAACAAAATATATCATGTTCAATTACTTTTATAAACCCTGTGAACTATTATTTCATACTTAATATTTATGTGAAACTTTATTTTAATATGTTATTGGGAGAAAAGCAGTACATTAACATTTGAATTTACAGATAAGATAATCTAAGGTTGAGCTGGGGTTGTGGCTCAGTGGTAGAGCGCTCGCCTAGCATGTGTGAGGCCATGGGTTCAATCCTCAGCACCACATAAAAAAAATAAATAAAATAAAGATATTGTGCCCAGCCAAAAAAATAAATTTTTTTTTCTTAAAAAAAGATAATCTAAGGTTGTCTCAATGGAAGAATTTGCAAATCTAGCAATACTCTCCCCTTCAGCACAGTCCCAGTGATCTCGAATCACTTCCAGCCCTGCCATTTTGCTGATTCTCTAAGTCCAGGGGAAAGGACCAGATGCAGACATGACTACAATAATGGAATTGGGCTTTGAGTCATTGTGAATTATCAAAACTGTTCAGTCTTCAAATTTTATTTTATTTTAGTTTTGAGGGGAAACTCATAATAGCAGGGGAGACACTCGAATCCATAAGTCCTCTCCTCCTGGGTGAGGTCTGTGGGGCTGGGGGGTCTGTGGCCACCCTTCTCAGCCAAGCCCAGTGTGGGAAGACAACTCTCCCAATTGTGTGAGTCAAAGCAGGAGCTGAAGGAGACAGCTGCAGGGTCTCCCATACTCCCCAGCTGGCTGTGACCTATATTCCTACACAGCCAACCCTTTGCTGCCAACTGCACAATATAGGTACAATCTGTGAGTACACATTATAGTATCCAAGCACAATTACATAACCACAAACATTATTTCATCCTTAGAATGTGCCAAGAACTTAAGATTGCGGTGGGAAAAAAAATTCACACCAACACCTAAGGTAATAGCTAAAGACTACAGTAAAATAATCTTACAAGTATACTGTACTTTTGGTTTACTGAGTATATATTCTCATTMACAATTTCTTAGCACAAACTTTCTATCAAAACACTTCAAACATTCTGAAGACACTTACAGTGCATGTCAAAAGCTGTGAAGATGTGTCTTATCTCATTGTGATATAGTTGAACTTCCTTCTTTTTCCTTATGATATTTAAAAACTCCTCAAGCGATACACCTAAAAGTTGGGGAAGACAATTTGCCAAAGATGACTGTCTTCCTCTTTAGAAAAAATAAAACAGACGTGAACAGTAATAAATATCACAATCAAACTTTACCTTAATTTTGGAGAATGGTATTTACTCCTAAACAAAGTCAAAGAGACATTTTGCTACATGCTAAGTAAATCCAGCCCTAGCAATCAATAGTGAAAATGATAGATACCCTTGGGGTCCACCGTGCCATTGCAAGGGACAAAGGAATGGTGACCTTGAAAAAGTTTAACACTCTTTTCTCTAAAAGATCTAAAGGACAGGCAAGAAACTACTCATTAAACGATGTCTCATAATTTTTCTTTCCTTATGCTTCTTTGATCCCTTTTTTCCTAGCCAGATGTCATTTCGGCAGGTTTTTTTCCAACTGGGAGATCAGGTCAGAGAAGTAGTTTCTCAAAAGTCAATACCAATTGCACACCACAGATAAAGGTGGAGAGAATATTACATAAACAATAGAGCTGGCACCATCCCCAGCCATGGATACACCCCACAATGTGTTCAGCAGCCTGGGGCTCAGCTTCCTGCGACTCTCATAATAAAAGAGCCCAGCATGATGATATGAGATTGGATACTGTGCTTACAATGTCTATTAAAATGAATTCTAATGTGATCTTTGTAGTAGGTTTAAGAAGCAGAGCCAAGAATTTAAACATTTCAGTGAACTGCGTTCTAAATATATAAAAAGAGCAGTTCATTTTTATAATGCAGGATTTCCATTAAAAAAGTTATCACTTTGTTTTAAAAATAGCCCTAAATCATACTATAACCACAAGTAACCTTTTTCTTTGGGTGGGGTAACTAATATTGTGCCATATGTCATTCCTAAGACAGTTCATATAGCTCAAAACATGTTGAAATAATTTTCTTAATTTCTCATGCTTTTATTTGTAAAGATTTATAAACTTAAAAAAATCAATCAAGCTTTATGTTTTTAAATTATTCCGATTGTTTTACAACTTTAAAAAATTTTTTTAGTTGTCAATGCACCTTTATTTATTTATATGCAGTGCTAAGAATCGAACCCAGTGCCTCACACATGCTAGGCAAATACTTTACCACTGACCTACACCCCAGCCCTATTTTTTTTTTAATATTTTATTTTTTAGTTGTAGTTGGACACAACACCTTTATTTCACTTGTTTATTTTTGTATGTGGTGCTGAGGATCGAACCCGTGCAAGGCGAGCATTCTACCGCTGAGCCACAACCCCAGCCCCCAGCCCTCTTTGACAACTTTTTAAGATCCACTGTGTGCCAGGCACTGTATTAAGCTCTGGAAGTAGAGGGGAGAAGAAAATATACATGGCCCCAGTTTCAAGGGTAATTTAGTGGGGAGACCACCATTATTCAGGTTCAACTGCAAACACATAATTGCAGATTGCAGCAACCAGGGAGAAACAGGAGGTTTTCAAGAGAGTCCCTGGAATCCTCTTGTAGCACAGACTCTGGTCGAGGAGAAAACTCTCAAGAGGAAGAAACATTTAAGCTAAGATCATGAAATGACACCAGCTAGCTAAAGGAGGAGAAGAAGAGCAATTCAAGCAGCGGAAACAACATGTGCAAAGGTGGTGGGCTGGCCAGGTGGGGAAATGAGAAGATGCCACCTGCTGGACCATGGTGAGCAAGAGAGAGTAATGCAAGACAAGGTGGGTGAGAGAGGCAGGGCAGGGACTCCCACAGGCCCTGTGGGCAGCAGCAGATAATTTGGATTTTATTTAGGATGCAGTAGAAAGTCAGTCAAAGATTTAAATTAAGAAGTGATATGATCTCATTTATATTTCCAAAAGATCTTTCAGGGTATTGTCTTGGGAAAAAGGATTGGGGAAGAAGCAAAAATATAAAAAGGGAGACCAGTTAGGAGACTACTGGCAAGAGATGTGGTTGTTGGGGTGCTGGTGGGCACAAGGAGGAGGTGTCCACAATGTTCTAGAATAGAAATGACACAACTTGATAATGAATCGGATGTGGCAGGTGAGAAAGAAGATGTCAAGAAAAACCCGCAGCTTCTGGACTGACTGCTAGGTAGTTTGAGAAGTCATTTAAAGAGATAAAAAGACGAGGGAAGATAGGCTTTGGGGTGAGATGAGGAACTGTGTTAGGATGTGTTAAGTGCTCAGTGCTTTGGAGCCAAAGAGGAGGAAAACGTGAAGGCGGCAGCTGGCTTTCCTCTAGGCAACAAGGCACATGTCCCGGTACCTAGAGGAGCGTCTGGCAGGTATTCCTACGTATAATCATCCCTTGGTATCTGTCGGGGACTGGTTCCAGAACCCCTCAAGGATACCACAATCCAAAGATGCTCAAGTCCTTTATATAAAATGGCACAGTATTTGCATATATCCTCTGCACATCCTCCCATATACTTTAAGTCATCTCTAGATTACTTGTAATACCTAATACAATGGAAACTGTATAAATAGTTGTTACTATGTTGTTTAGGGAATAATGGCAGGAAAAAAGTCTGCACACGTTTGATATAGATGCAATTTTTAAAAAATCTTTTCCATCTGTGGATGAGTGAAGCTTGGCACCTGCGGATGCAGAGGGCTGACAGTACTGCATTGAATCAGCATATGCAACATTTTTCCCCCAGTAGTTGCTTAGAGATTGATGCTGCTCCATTCCATCTAATCACTCCTGTGACCAGAGAACATACCTCAGAATGCCAGCTGAGGTTAAAACTGAAGTCAGGTCATGCATGTTCCCTTAAGTTCATATCTATAACTTTAGTTTCATAAATTCCAAAAACTAATTATTTAAATAGCATCTAGAGTTGTTGAAACTCATGGAAACTTTATCCACTGATGATGGCGTGTTCAATGAGATACATCACAATCTTACCCTTTATACCTCTCCAAAGAGGCTTTTAGCACCCAGTAACTTTGCACATGTAAACACACTATCTGGAAAGTCCCTTCTCCTTTATTTCTCCTAGTGAATTTTTACATCTCCTTCTACATGAAATTCAAGCGCTGCCTCCTCTTAGAAGTCTTCTCTGGTTCCTCTTGACTGGGTCCCTTTGCTGTGACTGACAGTCCAGTGTTCACACACAATTGTCAAATTAATTAGAATCTATGGTAATTCTTTGGAGACAGGTCTGCTTCCTGGGAATACAGTACGCATTACTCACAATTTCAGCCCCAAGTTTAGCATGGGGTCTAGACTTCATACACAGGCATTCATCACGCATTTGCTGAAAAAGTAATGTGACGAATAAGAATGAATGAGTATGATCGACCATGAAGATGTTTTCTAGATGATTTCTAGTTTGGGGCAAAAAGTTAAAATGCCTGTTTTAAGTCATCTTATAACTCAGTAAACTAGTGCCTCAAAGTAGGTCACTTTTTATTCACATAGTCAGCAAAATTGGCAGTCATTTTAGAACTCCTGTCTTTATTGGTGCATATTAATTATACAGAATGGCAGGTTTCATTGTGGCATATTCATAAGTACATAAAAACATCCTTTGATAAATTTCACTAACACATTCCCCCCCTTTCCTCCCTCCCCTAATCTTCCTCTGCCCTAATGTGCTCCCTTCAACCTGCCTGGTGTACTTTTCTCCCCTCTTGCTGTCACATGACAGAAAACAAATGACACTTTTCTGACTTATTTTACTCAAAATTACGATCTCCAGATCCATTAGAGTTTTCCTGCAAAGGACATAACTTCATTCTTTATGGCTGAGTAAACTCCATTGTGTATACACACCATATTTTCTTTATCCACTCATCTGTTGATGGGCATTTAGGCTGATCCCATAACTTGGCTATTGTGAATTGTGTTGCCATAAACATGCGTATGCAGGTGTCTCTCAAGTAAGCTGACTTTAATTCTTTTGGATGAGTACCAAAGAGTGGTATAGCTGAATCATATGGCTGTTCTATTTTTAGCTTTTTAAGGAACCTCCATACCGATTTCCATAATGGCTGTACTCATTTACATTCCCACCAGCAGTGTGTGAGAGTTCCTTTTCCCTGCATCCTTGCCATCATTTACTGCTATTTGCATTCTTGATGATTGCCATTCTAACTGGAAAAACTTCTATTTTAATACATAGTGACCTAGTGAAAAAAACAAACAAAATTCAGAGATAAAGGCAATGCATGCATAATATCTGTCCTTTATTCATTATTGCATCTGACTTACAGAAAGGATGGGGGGAGCTCGATTCCATGGTTCAATGTGTGATTCACATGAAAAACAGAACCATATGAGTGGTGCTATCTTTTAAATTACATGTTCAAATGACACATCAGTATTGGAGCTATAAGGCATTCAAGTCTTTATTCCACAATCTCATAGAATAAAAATCAAATGTTCTTTGGTTTTTACTAGGAGAAAATGTATGTGGATTTAAATTCTGTTTATTACCACTTAAAAAGAGAAACACAAATAACTGTGTGTATAATCGTTCTTTCATGCTATTTTCTCACAGAACCATATAACTTCTTTTTTCAAGTCAATATCTAGGGGTCAAAGGCATCGATTACATATTATACTGTGTAAACACACCCCTCTCCACATGCCCTCATGTCATCTTCCAAGGCAAAACACATCCAAATGCAAGCCCCTTTTCTAAAAAGATGGAGAAGTTTTTATTCAGCTTGGCTCTGCTGTTGTAATAATACGATTGCTTTCCAAAGCTAATACTTAATAATTTACTATTCCTACAGCTTTGTAATGCAAACACATTAATGTAAGTTTTATGTATCTTGCTGCTTTTTAAATGGCCTAGAAATAGAATTGCTACAACTAGCTCCACCTGCTGTCAAAATAGTCAAACCTGAAATTACCATTTCACAAAGACTTTCAATAATTCTACTGACATCAGATTTCATACCCAATGAGAAATGCATTATCTGTGTCCCCCCCGGAGTGAAAGAATATGTTCAGGAAATTCTAATTTCAAACACAATCTTGCATCTTCTATGTACACTATTCCTCTAATAAGTTAACTAAAACAC